TGAATAAAGAAACTTCTCTACTAGGGTCTGAGAGCTGAGCTAATCCATAGGCAGATAGATACAAATTTAGAGGGCAGTGTCATACAATGTCTATTAAGCAAAATAATAGTAGTAGGTTCATCATGGGACTTGTCAACTCCCTAACTATGGGTTCTTGGACAGATGTGTAGTACCACACATATGTTTCCTACTGTGGACTGGGCATTATATCCAATCAGAAAGCTGCTGGGTACCCCCATAATATTCATGCGCCTATTGAACCCATGAACATAGTTTGCCACACTGACCATTATTGAAGTTCACAGGCTTTTGGAAACTTCATTTGTTGAATAGGCTGTCTTTTTCTCCAGCTTGTTTTTCCACCTTTTCTGAATATTACGTGGCTGCATATGTGTAGGTTTACTTCTGCGTCCTCTGTTCTGTTCCATTTATCTGGTTTATGCCAGTACTATGCTATCTTTGTCACTGTAGTAAAATTTGGGGTGATGTATTTGATACCTCCAGCAGTGTTATTTTTTTAGGACTGTATTGGCTGTTCATGGCATTTTGTGTTTCTATACGAATTTTATGAGTTTTTAAAATAGTTTTGTTAAAAAATACCATTGCATACAATCTGTAGATTATTTTTAGAAATATAACCATTTTCACATATTAATTCTGTGAATTCAGGTGTATGGAAGGTTGTTGCAGCTTCCATTTTGTTGATAGGTTGATTTCTACTCTTTGATTATGAGTTTTTGTGTCTTTGCTACATAGGCATGTTTCTTACAGACAATAGATAGTTGGATCTTATTTTTTAATACAATCAGTTGGTAAGAATCTTTTAACTGATGAATTAACATTTGTATTTAAGGTTATTATTGAGAAAGGTTTGCTATTTCATGTGATTTTCTTGGCTGTTTTGATTGATTGGATTACTGGTACTTCTTTCACGCCTTCCATGATAATTAAGGCTCTTATGTTGTGATATTCATCTGCTCCTCTCATGAAATGTGTTCTTTCCTGTGTTCTCAGTGACGAGATTGTCTTTCCTTTTCCTCTGTGTATAGAATTCCCTTAAGAATTTTCTGCGATGCTGCCTTATTTATCATGAATTGCCTTAACCTGTATTTGTCTTGAAATGTTCTTATTTTTTAAAAATAATATTTTAAAAATCAACTTCCATGGATATAACAATTTTGAATGACAATTGCTTTCAGGTTTGAAATGTGCCACTCCAAGTTGTACTGTCTTTTAGGGTTTCCGACAACAGATCTTACGTGCTCCAATGTCTCTGCTTCCGTACAGTAGTTGGTATTTTTCTCCTTCTCCAATGTTTTTGTTTGTTTTATTTTATGTCAGTGAATTGGATAAACTGTTTTCTCTTGGATTTATGTTCAAGGGTAAAGCCAACATCAGGAATACATAAGCATTTGAGAGCAATTCCTGTATCGGCTGCAGAAGAGGACATTTGTGCACTGCACTTGTGTCCCTTTTGAGGCTCAGAGGCTGACTTTGGGTACTTGTTGGGTAAAATGTGGTTTATATTTTCTTTTTTTTTTTAAAAGATCTAATTATATCAGTAATTATTGAAGTTAGGAAAGAATGGAAGGGGTAAAGAAAGTAAAGAGAGAATAAAAAGAAAAGTGTTGTGATAGATGTGTGAAAAGTAGTAGGAAAATTGAATATTATTATTATTATTATTATTAGAGACAGGGTCTTACTACATAGCTTTGACTGGCCTGGAACTTGTTATGTAGACCAGGCTGGCCTTGAACTCATGGAACTCTGTCTTGTGAGTGCTGGAATTAAGGGTGTGCATATGCCACCACCCTTGGCAGCTGTTTATTATTTTTAGAGAAAGTAAAGAACAGCATCAAGACATTTTCCATCAAGTTATAAGTTGAAACACAGCAACTGAAGAGTTATAATTAAAAAACGCTAATAACAATTTTAAATTTAAGGTAAAACTCAGAGCACTAAGCAGGATGCAATAGAAGGTGCGACCAGTCTGCATTTCTTCTTCCCTTGGTGGGATGATGTGGTTTCTACTTTCACTTTGTTCTTATATTTTCTTTCCTTTTCCTTTTTTTCTTCTTTCTTCGTGGTGCTAGAAATTGAATCCAAGGCCTCACATATGCCTGGTGTGCTAGTTACTTTTGTCAACTTTACACAAACTAGAGAACCTCAGGGAACCCCAGCTGAGGAACTTCCTCTATCAGATTGGTTTGTAGCCATGTCTATGAGGCATTTTCTTAATTGGTAATTGAAACGGAAGTGCTCATTGTACAGGACCATCCCCTGAGCCTGGCAGATACCATCTCCCTGAGTTCAGCTGTGCCCATTTGCAAAGGAACATCACAACTGGACTTGTTGCTGTCCTCACGTAGGAGGGGCAGGAAGGGTTATGGGACCCTTACTTAAGTATCCAGTCATTCCTCCCAACCTGGAAGGGGGCAATTTAGCCCTAATTCCACATGGCCCCTGGAAAGGTCTAGTTATATAAGCTAGGGAAAAAAATAAGGGGCTGAGAGGGGACTCCGTTTATGCAGCTATGGAGAAGCCACCCTCTATGTTGGATGAAAACTTTCCAGTGTGACCTTGTGAGGGGTACCATACCATTGTAAGGAACGCATCACTGTTCTGTCCGGAAGGTCAATAAATTCCACCAGAGTGAGCTATGGTGCACTTGTACTTTGGTTTGTCATTGGTACCTTGGGAAGAGGGTATGGATGCCATTTACATTTACCCCTCAGAAAGAGATTTAGCAACGTGTGCTCTATTGGCAGATCCACAAATTATGTATTGGGCTGAGTCGAGCAGAATCCTTCATACAGCAGAAATGCTGCAGTAGAGACTGGATTCAACCTGGTCTAATGGCCTTGTGTTACAGAGGCGGATTATGCTCCACCCCATGCCAACTACCTCAGTAACATTGACACCTTCCATGGCTTTATACCCACAGCCCCATGATAGTGAATAGGGTTCTTCTCATGACCAGGACTAGAGGAATAAAATACAGATGTTGTTCATCTACAGAGCCAGTTTATTGTAGTTACTCGTGGTGGATTGGCTCCCACATTAACTCTTTACTCGGGAGTGCCGTAGAAAGCGCAATTGGGGAAAACACTCAGGTTGAGCAGAGCCGTAACAGTGCAGCTGGCCTGGAGATATGAACCCGGACCCTTAGTGTGAAATCTCCACTGGTTATTCTGGAACAGAGGAGTCACAAGGACGGTATATTGACACAGGGTTTAGAGAAGTCTATCCGAAGGAAGCTCCAAATGCGAATGTAAAATGTGTGATGTTTGTGCTCATTTTCTGCTGGGAAGAAAGTACTCACTACAGAGAAGTTAGTGAACAATGGGGAAGACAGGAAGTGTGCTCCGTGCCTTACAGCCAGCTTGTGCCCTCAGCTTCTCAGTGCTTATGTGATGGATAATGAGCTGGTCACTGGTCAGTGTCACAATGCATGTGCCCAATAGTTAGGATTCCATGTCACTAAAAGTAATTTAGGTGCTGCATGTTCCCATCATTCAAAAACAGAGAACGATGCTGAGACTTCAACAAGTTGCCGTCTATCACGGAGATAATCCAAACTTTTGCTGAACAATAATTATGCTGGATCCATCTGTCTTTCAGGGTGGCAGCAGTTGGTCTTTCCTGAGAACAGTACATATTCCAGGTGCCTTTCCTGCCTCTGGTGTCACAACCAGCGCCACCAACTAATGTTTCCCAGAGTGTCTAGACTAAAGACATGGATCTTTTCTAATATTTCCTACACCAAGTGATTGATAATCACTGTCGTACTCAACTAGATCATCACTATTAGCAAGTTGAGGCAATGGGCACATGATCAAAGGCTATTGACGTTTCCATTAATGCTGTCATCAGGGAGCTGCTGGCTGTAGAGTATGCTGGAAATTCTTCTAGATAAGCATCTGAGGAGATTTCTTGGGGGTCACAGCCTTCAGGGTCATGGTAATGTCATGGAACTTGTGGCATATATTTTGGAAGCATGGCTATTAAGCAGTGCTGTATCTTTGATAGTGAGAATATATTGGTCTAGGACACAAGGGATGGAAGTGGCATCTCTCATCATCACTTCCAATGGTGGATGTATTGGAGGATCAGGTATGTATGTGAACTATTTGACAAAGTAATATCAGCCTGTTCTGCATACACTCGCTAGTTATATATTCCCTCCAGCAGGGCTTCATGCTTCTTACATCCCATCATTCCTCATTCACACTTGGCATTGCCTAACTTTCAAAATCTTCCTTTGGAAAGTCAAGAACATAATACATGAAATATTTAGGCTTCCAAATGCACCTTAAGTTGTGAATCTTTTTATTGTCACTCATTGAAAAGGAATAAGGTATATGACAGATGACAGAAAGGAGCAGCTGGACACAGTTGAACTGAAAGGGTAGAATAGCTTGAAATCTTTCCTTCATTCTACCTTGAATTTTCTGTGTTGCTCTGGGCATACCCCCTTCTATCTGTGGGCATTCTCTCCTCTATGTAAGTAGTGAGATTCATCCCTGGTTTCACTATCTCCTCACCTACGTGGATTTGAAATGTTTATTGTATGATTTTTTGTGACTTTCACAGAAAACAGTACTAAACTAACCTTTGGATATCTAGACAGATACAGCAGTAAGTTGCTCTGGGCATACCCCCTTCTATCTGTGGGCATTCTCTCCTCTATGTAAGTAGTGAGATTCATCCCTGGTTTCACTATCTCCTCACCTACGTGGATTTGAAATGTTTATTGTATGATTTTTTTGTGACTTTCACAGAAAACAGTACTAAACTAACCTTTGGATATCTAGACAGATACAGCAGTAAGTTTTGGGAAAGAATGTGACAGTTCACAGCAAAGTTGGAGAAGTTTATCACACAGATATTTTACCTCAGAGTTCATTTCACCACATTTTATTCGACCAGAGAGAGACCATGAACCAAAGGAGCATCCTCCTTAGGAATGCTCAGTGGCCTGGATCAATGAGGCTTTCAGTTTACGGTGTTACAATGATATCAGCTGTAGCAAATTTCATGAAGCCAGTTTCTGGGTACAGTATCTCCCCATCAGGACATATATTCTTAGCTGACACAACTTCAGCTTTCCCTCGTATGACAGTATTTGCTAGAAAGAGGTAAGTAACACTGTTAGGCCACAGGACTTCACACAGCTTCACCCACACTGCTCTTATCCTCCCTCCTAGCACTAATACTCAGCTTCTGCTTCTTGGTTTAATGTATAAGGCACAGTCGCTATCTGAACTCCTTTCCCTCACCTTCAGACCCTGTCTGCCCCTGCTTTTCCTGTCAGTTTGGTCTCTTATTATTATTCCATTAACCTTCCCCCTTCCTCCCTGCTACAACCCAGTTTATTTTTTTCACCCTGATATAGCCTGACATTCAGTCCTATCTGTCATTCATAAGTAGGCAGAGAGTGTTTCCTCTTACCAGAGGCATCGATATCCCAGAAGTAGTTGTGTGTGTCACATATGCAAGCAGTGTACTTTGCATGAGCAGTAAGGTACGTGATGTTTGGGTTGTCCTCAGTACTGATTTCCACCTGAAGCGAAGAAAGTAGGGAAGGGTTAGAGTGTCAATACGGATGAGGCAGCCTGGGATTGATCATTAAGCAAAAGAAGTAGTTCCCAGGGCACTGTGGGAAGGGAGTGTTGTCGCTCAGCTTTCAGAATACACTCCACATTAGGCAAGTTCTCTGTAATTTATGTGTCAAATACAACAAGTTTAGCCTCCACTGAGTTTAAGAAAGAAAGGAATGGATATTTTCTTTGGCATAGTGAATGACTGAAGTTTAAACATTCTGTTAGAAGTTGTCAGATATCACATGTATTTTCATCTAATAGAGTGAAAGTAAATGTGTGTGTCTGGGTACATTTAACATATCAGTTGGGTTCTGAGATGGGTCATTAAGCACTTTATTTTAGCAATGGGAATGGGGCAAAGAGCATTGTGGTCAGACTGTGTTTAAGGCGTCTTTGGTCTTCATCTAACCTGAAGCTCTCTGAGTCATATTCAATCAGAAATGATGATGATATCTCCTGAACTAAGAAGAGCACGAATATTGGAGACATCAGGCTGTGTATTGCTATGGCGAAATGACTATATCAAAGACACAATGAACAAACAGAGGTTAGTATACCAACTCTCTGATTTCGGCCTCTCAGTTTTGAGATATGATACTTGTTACCTCGATTTTTCTTTCTGTCACTGTGAGATGAAAGTGTTGATATCTGTGCCCTTTGCATGAGTTTATGAGCTTTTGTCCTTTCTGAGTAAAAGATACATTTTAGAATTAAAGGACCATGTTGTTCACCCAAATAGACACCGTCCAGGCTTGTAAACTTTTGGACACTCTTTTTCCCATAGCCAAAAGAATTATGAAACTTTTAATCAACAAGACAATGTAAGGAGTGACTGTGTTTACACGGGCTAAACAATCTACTGTGTTCAAACCTGAATAGACAAAATATCAGTGTCACTAGATCAAAGGCATTTCTAACGTTGTTTTTATCTGGGTAAATATCAGGGACTATCTGTATTTCTAGCATATTTTTTTTTACCATTACAAATTCCCCCCTTTTTGTTTTTTCTAAAAATCCGAAGAGAATGCTGAAGGAACTGTTAACAAAGGAAGTGAGGCAGGAGGTGAAGCGTTTGGAATGACTGAGGAAGACAGCACACGTGGGGACAGAGGTGAAGGCCGTGTATGCCAGCTCTTACTTGGAGTCAGTCCTCAGATTTGAGAGATAGCACAGTTACTGCACTCCCGCATAGCTTACATCTGCCAAAGTGGGTTGAGCTTCTTGACTCCACTATTATGTGGAGTGGGTGGAGGTAGGAACCAGATGCTATCAGAGCTCTCTGGTCAGTATCGGTCTTATTTATCTTTGTTTCATTGTTAGTTTCCTTGATTTACGCTCTTCCCATTCTCTTTTGTTCTTCCTGCCCTTTTGTCTTGGAAGAGCTCTGGCCCCACAACGAAAAGCCCCTACTCATTAATCTCTCTCGTAACTTTGTTATTTTAACTTTAGAATATAGTTCATAGCACCTACACTTCTAAGAGGATTTTTCTGAGTTTCAAGGCTGATACCCACAGATGCATTTGCAGAGCTAGCACTTGGTACAGTGTTAAATCATGACACGCTTTATAATTCTCCTCATTCTCTTTCACACTCTCAGTTAGTTACTTACCACCATGCATTTATCCATGTTGTTTGTAACAGTAAATGTTACTGAAAATTCATTTTCCCTTTGCAACTGAGAAACTGACATATTCAATGAAAGTAGATTGTCCCTGTAACAGCAGAAGACACAGAAACACAAAGACACATTAAAGTCCAGGACCCAGGTGTTCTTATATGAAGGGGCAGAGAGGGCACCAGGGGCTAAGTGTGGGGGTGACACAAGGGTCCAACATTTTCTCCCTAGAAGGATCCCTGCATGTGACTTCTCCCAAAATATCTCATGTCTGTAGCCATGACTTAGGTCCAACAGGATGAGTTGGAGGCCAGAAGAAAGGTTCATAGTCTGGTCACCTCATGAGTGCATGGTCCTAGGCTGGCACAACTACTTTTTCCTTGTCCATCAGTTCTCCATGGTGGAGGTTGGAGTGGAATTTATGACTTCATGGTCCACCTCAGTCCCCAGTATACTCCCCTTTCCATTTTCTCTCTACAATTATCTACAAATTCCCCCAATCCCCTTTCCTTACAAACGCAGGAGAAGAAGGATGTGATGCCCTCAGAGTTTGATAAATTCATCGTGTGGATGAACCCAACTTTATTATGACAAGTGACTTGGCTCACCCTTCTACAAGACTAAGCTGGGGAGCATCAAAATGTCCGGTGAACAAAAGTTTGATTCTCAACTCCACTCTCTTGGCATCACCTCCTGCATTATCCTGTCTTCTCTGCTGCTTTTAGCATGATGGCTTTCCATGGTAGGTAGAGTATCTCTACCCAGCTCTCCATGGATTCATCACCGTCTGCTAGGTTCTCTTTATACCATGTTATTCTGTGTGCTGATTTGGACTCTGATTTCTTGCTGTAACTCCTTGTTTATTCTTGTCAAAAGATATACTGCTCTTTAAGTGCCATTTTATTCTACTAGGAATTAGAATCTGACATTTCTTTTCCTCTTTTAAGCAGATAGTTGTAGACTTAGAGACCAGCTTTATCACAAAAGGAACCTTGTGTAAAGGAACAGGTACAAAAAGTTTGGGCACAGGATCAGGTTTCTACATATTGCTTGAAAAAGACCTGCTCAAGCTGTGGTCAACAGAACCCTGTAATTTGGAGTTGACCAAGACCTTGGGCATTCTTGTACAATTCAGATAATTTTTTGGTAGACAATTTGTTAGTTTTGTTTTTTGTTGTTTGAGTCAAGGTGTCTTTCTGTCATCCAGGAGAATCTTGAACTTGTATTCTCTTGCTTCCACATACTGAGTTTGGGATTAGGGGTGAATTATATCTTATCTATAAATTATCCCAAAGATACAGTCCAAGCTCACATTTCTGCCCATACCTCCCTTGTACATGAAAATATGAGTCTTATAAAGGCAGAAAAATCTGTTCAAACACACAGTTTTAATTAGCACCTGGTCTTTTGGAATCAGGACATGGGCTTGGGAGGCTCTACATCGCCTCTGAATATGGACAAGCAAGATTAAGAGCTACAATAATGGGAATCCAGGATATGTCCCCATCAAACAGGAACACATCTCTAGAAAAGTGGATCCCTGAAAAACTTTCTGTGGTGTGCAAAAAGGGTGCCTTACCTGTTTTCCTGGCCCTGTCCTGTCTCCAGAATTAAGCACAAAACCAGGAGCAGCACAACAGTGCAGGGCTGGTAAAGAACTCGAAGAGAAGTCATTCTGTGGGTGCTGCTGCTCTTGAGCACTGACCACCTGGAACCCAGATCACTCTTTTTATTCACAACAGCAAGACAATGGGTCAGATGGGCAGGTCCACTCAGCCCCAATCGTCATACTTTGGGATCCTACCCATTGCCACCTTGTTTGTTTTTCTGTGACAAAGGTCAGTATTCAGCTGGAACTCACTATTGGATTATATTAAGACCTGCTTTTTTGTCAGTTGAGATTATAATGTTCTTGGATCATTAGGATGGATCCTATTCCAGTTTTCATAAACAATATCTATTCCTTTTTAGCTTTTGCTTCCTGACCTTCTCTGTGTAAATCCACAAATTTGAATTATTTCTCTTTGTCTTGTAGATACTGTAAAACCTTCCTGTTAACCCAAAGAAATCCAACTTAAAATTCTGCTGCAGCTGAATAATGACTCAGTATAATATTGCTACTCAGCTCACCTGATTTGTGTCCTAAGTACAGTGGGTCTTGTGCAGGAAGTGATGGCCCTCTCTTGCATAAAATGTTTCTTGAAAATTCCATATACATGAGATGAGTGGGAACTGCAATCCTGAAACTTCTGGGAAAGGTCTTCCCACCTCAGCTTTCTGCTTTTCCAACTTTAGTTACTGCTCACCCTGCTTTGTCCACTTGTAAGGCACTTAAGGTGTGAGGAGAGATGCCAGACTTCATCTCTAAAGGATAACCTTCATTGATCTGCGAGATAATAAATGGACTGAAGAAATTCTTGGAGAATTAGGGTGACTAGGGAACCCATGGAATTGCCTATCACCCAGGTAGGAGAAGTCCAGAAAGGATGGGGGTTCTGTGTCAGGGATGTAAAGTCTAAGGTGGATGGTGGATGGGTTGGGGTAACTCAGAAGACAGTACTTCTGCTATTTACTGGTCTCTGAGATGTAGATTGCTGAGGCTAACAGGACCTTGAGATTACTTATGGTCTGAGAAAGATCATGGCTTAAGAGTGCTCTGTTCACTTTGTGTTTACCAGTATTGCCCATGGATTGGGAGGGGTGACTGTCAAACCCCAGTGCCATGTGGCAAGTTTTCTGTTACTGGGTTTACTCTGCCAGTCATTCTTAGTTTCTTTTTTTTAAAAAAAATAAACTCGTTAAATGAACAACCTCTCCTGCCCTTCCCTCTCATTCATTTATTACTTATCTAAAATGTTATTCCATAAAAATAAGTAGTATATATTTAGGATTCAAAAACTCAAAATTATGTAAAAGATAGAGCCTGTAACTTAAAGATTCATCTATTTACCAGTTGACCCATTCTCCTCCACAGAGATTGTTATTCCATAAAAATAAGTAGTATATATTTAGGATTCAAAAACTCAAAAATTATGTAAAAGATAGAGCCTGTAACTTAAAGATTCATCTATTTTACCAGTTGACCCATTCTCCTCCACAGAGG